GAGAGAAGACAGTTGTTTTAATGAGCATAATTTATATGCGATGTCCATGGAAGGTTGGGCTGGTTAGTGGCAATTGTTCATAGATGAACCATTACTTTGGTATTTCCATAAGGTTTGTGTTTTTGCTACCTTGAGTATTGTCACATAGGTATTCCTCTTTACAAGGGTAATAAAAATACTTCTGAATGTTTGTAATGTAGAGTTACCCAACATTGATGCATACACATGTCAGATCTGTGTAGATGAGTTTTTGCTAAGACATCTTCATACTTCTCTGTGGCTATTGTCTCTTCGCATATCATATCTTTTCTTCACATATTACATGGAATATGGTTGTAATTTTGAATAACCTTTAGTAGATCAAGGAAATAATTACATTACAGTATTTTTTAATGGACACATCAAGAATATTCTCTGAGATAATTTTATTTGTTTAAAGTTGTATTTATAATTCTTACCCTAACCCTGTGACATAACTGCAAGCAGAAAAAGTCAGGAGGCCTAGATCCTAATCTGAACATTGGAAAACTGAAAATTAACTAAGCATTAACCTCTACTCTTGAACAAATTGAAAATCATGCTCTCAATGTCTTTATCTACAAATATAGAAAATGGCTTCTCAGACCTACTCGTGAAATTGATTTTGGAAATTAATTAATCAATAAGTTTAGCAAATGTTTTATTTTCCTGTATGCTAGGAAATTGACATAAAGCACAGTGGGTGAGGAAATCCTCTTCTTTTGCCAGGGGACATACAATAGAAGCATAGCAAGGAAAGAAAATACCAGCCAACATGTCAGTTTGTGGTTAAAGGTACTAGACAGGTTCAAACAAACAAACAAACAAACAACAACAAAACTGAGAATTAGTATGTGGAATGGTCTCAGGAGGAGGTACATAGGCTTTCTAATGTGTTAGACATGTGAATAGCGTGAAGGAGCAACACAGAACACTGTTGTTGAGGACATTACCAGGTAGAAGGAAGCCCAAGCCAACCTCACCCTTCCAGGGCTGTTCAGGGATCAGGAGAAGGGGCACTGTGCTTGGTGTGGGAGAGAAGGGGAAAGAGTGGCAGAAAGTGCTCTCAGAGCAGTGGCAAGGGTGGTAAGGACATATTTGCTTTTGAGGATTGTTGTGTCATAGAACTTTTCCTGGGGTGACCCAACACACAAGTCCCCCCAGATAGAGAGCCCATGATAGACCAAAGTACAGATACCACCAAACTTCAACTTGGTGTACCCTGAATTCTCTTAGGGTACTTACAGAAGCAGGGGTGAGTGATTACTTAAAGGAGCATCGCAAAAGCCCAACCCCAATATGGGTGTCAGCTCACAAAAGCTGAGAATCTGGAGCAAACCTGCGCAGCCAGCAGGCAGCTCAGCAGACTAAAGAGCGTCCTTTCCAAGGGGCTCAGTTAGTATAAACCTCTTCAGGCAGCTCACGTGGTCTCGGAGTCTTCTTTGCAACTCAGATTGCTTCAGTATGAAAAGAGTTCTCAGCCTTTACTGTTTACTCTGGCAAGGAGGGACCTAGTCAGTGGGTCAGTGGACTTCCTGAAGCTATTTTGAATTGTTTACCCTTGGTTTAAAGAGCCTTCCTTCAGGGAACAATGTTTCAATCTAGGGGGGACAAGGCTCTTGTCTGCATGTTTACTATTGCCTAGGATGATATGAAAGCTATTGTAGAGTTTTGAACAGAGAACTGACACAGTCTCGTTGGTTTTCAGTGTGGATACTTTGGCTGCATTGGCAGACACAAACCAACCACTGCACCACAGACATTTAAAGAAGAGACCAGCTAGAAGGACAGTGATGATATTCTTCAGAAAAGTAACCAAAGCAGTTGTGAGGAGTGGTCATATTCTAGATTTGTTTCATCGGGCGACTCATTAGATATTGATGAGGTTACTCTTATGCTCTGAGTGGAAGAGAGGGTAGGTTGAAGTGAGACACCTGGCATAGTGAATAGAAAGGGATGGTTGCTTCTTCATACCTGGCCTAGTCTTCAATTCCTGTGACCAATTGGAACAAGAATCTATATATGTCTTCTCATAGCTAGTACTCTTCCTTACTTCAGTGTCCCCTCAACAACCAAAATTTGTATCTTAGAATGTTAATCTTGTGGGTTGTAATGTGGAGAAAAAGTTCAGAGTTCAGTACAAGAGGTATTTTCCAGCTCCTTAGGAAATAGTCAAGGATCTGAGAAAATCCACAGAAACATATGTATACTAACACACACACACACAAACACACAAGCACGGATACACACAGCTTATTTTACTTTGCTTAACTTAGTGTATTTCCCTTTATTTGGCTTGGGATATCTTTGATTTATTTACCTTCTGCTTAAATCTCACAGAATAGGTACATTAGAGATATAATGGCCTATTTTGCCAGCTTCACCTCTGGAATATACTGTCGTCATACTAATTTTCTTAAAACAATATATTTTGGAGGGGCATGTAACATCTCTTCAAAAGTCCTATAGATGAACCCTATAATGTTGTGCCCAGATCTTAAGGTCCCCAAAGACCACCAGGAGCTGGACCACATATACAAGAGTGAAAAGCTTTATTAGGGCTTAAGCTCTGTCTCTCCATCATCACCAACACTGTGGATCAGAGAGGAGAGCCCCAAGCAGCCACATGGCAGGGTTTTTATTTGGGGTTTGAGCAAGAACCTGGAATTCCCAGCTTAGCAGTTACACGACTGGATAATATTCAGCAAGGGCAAGTTTGTTATAAAGTGATTGGCTAACTAAAATAACTAACATTGAGTGAGCTATCTACAGATCTCAGGAATGTTAGGTCAGTGGGCTGCCTAGCAAAGATGCCTCACCCTGAGATAAGATACCTTCCCATTCTTGTGGTTACCTACAGGCTATTCCTTGGGTAGGGAATTTTATGGGTTTCTTATTCCTGGAAGAGGTGACCTATGGCCTAGTTCTTGGAACTGATGACTTTTGAGGGAGGGGGTCAGACCTGGTCCTTTCAATAGGATTAATTCTGAATTTTACATTTCATCTTATACATAGTCTAGCCAAATGCCATCCTCATGAATTCCAGATTCAGGGGCATGTTCTTTTCAATGGCATCTTTTTCCTCCAGATACATTTTATGATCTTTTCCAGAGAACCTACTTAGGTGGTTTTGTTCATTAACACTGTTTAATGTAAGGACTGTTTCTCCCATCAGCATCCTGTGATTACTACTGGCTATGGCAGTCTTCCATCAAGCCCTAACAACACACAGTTATTATACCTTTTATGCATGTCTTAGTATATATTTCCTTGAAGCAATTTCTAACACTTAAAGTTGTAGGCTTGGCTTCTTCTGAAAATATATTTCTTTAATAGCCTAGATACTCTCTTGTTCTTTCTATTATCACCCAGGGCATCCTCACAACCCAGGCAAGATATGTGTTCACAGAGATTTGCTGAACAGTCAGTTATTAATAATTTTGAAACACGCATGCTGTAGTCTAAGAGTACAGTAATAGTACTTGCTATTTTCTACTTCTACAATTTTAACTCATTCTTGTTTTGACTTAGATTCTTTCATTCAGGATGATGGTAAGTTTGCATGAATTTCTGTGCATGTATTTATTCTCACAGACTGCAGGCAACATTATCGACTTGGGCCTCAGCACCTTGACTTTATGGGAAGTAAAAGAAAATGGAAATTAGGAAGAACAAACTTTGAAGAAAAAGGAAAAAAATAATAGTTCTGATATTTACGCAAAGGGCATCCTGTAACTGTGGAAACCCTGTTTATGAAGCACTTGTAGGCTTGCTTCCTACGACATAGTGTTTGCAAGAGGGATTTCTGACATATCCGCCTATTCAAAACTGGACTAAGAGATTTAGGAAACAGGACTTAGCTTTCTAGGAAAAAACAAAAATCTGCAGGTGTTATACAAGACAACCTAGAGAATCAACTTAGTCTGCTGTGTTGGTGAATACACAAATGTTGGAGAGAACTTCTAGAGACACAGACACGGCCATCAGAAATGGGAAGAGTAGGACTCTGGCTGGGTCAGTTTATCTTGTGGGGAACAGCTCTCTTTGCAGAAAGCCTAAGACTTAGGGGACTCTGCTCTGTAAATTGGAGAAGCAAAAAGCTGCTCAGAATTTTTAAAAATTCAATCCTATATATCTGTCTGCCAGTATGTCTATCTGACTGTCTGTCTATAATTTATTTTACATCAATTTACACACGTAAACATACACACTGTGCATGTGCATGCAGGCGTGCGTGCGCGCGCACACACACACACACACACACACACACACACACACACACACACAACTTGTTTAACATCAGGCACTGATGGGTTCTGAAGAAATGGCTCTTTTATTAGAGCCAGGAAAGATGACTACAGGTAGAATCAAGATGGATACAATGCCATCTGAAGGGAGAAGAGGGATAAAAGCAGTGAATTACCAATAGCCAGTCCTTAGCTGAGGCCACAATCACTTTAGCAGATTGCCCTGAATTCCTTTAGAAATTCAGATTCTTGAGCCACACCCCTTGCTGTTGCTATTGTACTGGTGATCAACAAACTCTGCATTTAAAAGGTGGTGAAGTGTTTTTGGGAAGCCATTGCACTTGAGTGTTTCTGAGAATAGAGCTTCCTACATTAGTTTCCGGGACCTGGATTAGCCACACCACCTTTATTCTTATTTTTCAATTGAGAAGGTAGGCTGTGAGGTTGAAAGGAGCTCAGATTTTGGCCTGACTTTTGTTTGCCATGGTTAGTTCCCTGCAGAAAGAATTTTTAAGCTTCTGCAAAGCCCAAGCAGTATAGAGTGAGCTGGAGGCTGTCACAGGCAGCGAGACTCCTGGCTGACCACTGGATGGCATTGCTGTCCTTTCTTTCCTCACAGGTTTCCTACTCAGTATTCACAGGAGTTAGAGAGTTCCTGAGGCCTCTTGCCAGTGTCTCCTCACAACAATGAAAAACAGTGAGTGGAGCCTACCAAGTCCCTTGGCCAACAGGGAAGCCATTTCAGAGCCAGGTAGGCCCAGTATGGACGTGCGGGACAGCACATCTAAGGTGACAGAAATGCTTTATGTTTTATAAAATCAGCCTCCCTGTTTCCTCCTGGGATCTGTTTATAGGCCACGCTTTGAGTCCTGGGAAATGACACCACTGAAGACAAGTCCAGGAGAGGTGAGCAAATAAGGATTTTTAGACAGTATCGGAGCCTGCAAAACTGCTGGAAAGTAGAATGCTTTTATCTGATTTTAGAGGCAGTTTCTGTTCAGTGAAAAGAGCCATTTGTTTGTTTGTTTTTTATTCACTGCCCTCTGGTGGAAACACACTTAGAATTTAATTTTTAAAAACATGTCCCAAATAGAAAGGAACAAAGAATCTTGTCACTTTGAAGGCGTGGTCATGGGAAGTAAACACAGGTTTTGTATTTGGAAAGTGCTCAGGGACAGGGCCTTACTCAAGCAGAATTTTACACCATTCATGTAATCAGAAGCCACAGAAAAGCTTGAGGAGACTCCTGGCTTGTAATCTGCATTTTAGAATCACGATTCCTGCTTTTTTTTCCCCCAGAGCTTTTAATTTTTGTTTATGTACATAATTGTGAAAATCTAGTGTTTTATTTTCTGAAGTATTTTATATTTCTAAGTTTTTTCATCCTTCTAATATTTGCCTAAATATTCAGCCATTTTCCAAAGTCCAACACAGGCATGCTAAACAGCTGCTCTGCTGGAAGGAAAGCATAGCTCTGCCTTGACACTGCTTTGTTGACAAGCTGCTTCTGGTTAGAGTCTTGCTAATGCACTAGGATGGTCAAGCTCCAGTCCTGGAACTGAACCCCAGGTTTGCCATAGAGACATTTGGCTGAATCCTGGATTCAGAGAAAATCTCAGCTCTGGGGACTGTTCAGTGTGTCTGTGGGAACAGAAAGCTGGACAGTTCCCAGGTCTGCTTTTCATGCTATAGTTACATCTGGCATTCCTTTGCTTCATGCTGTCAGTCCCAGCATTAAACAAAGAGAATAGATAGCCAACTGAGGAAATATTTAATCCCTTTCTTCTTTTTCCTGCCTTAAAGAATTAAATTTCTTTGCCTTTCCTTTCCTATTGTATTGGCTTATTTATAGTGAATGGGTATATTACTTATCTATTAGGAAACATACATGTGTATACTGTAAAAACTGATCTGAGTATCTTGTTAAGAATGTAATTCACACCCCCATACAAGACCCATGCAATCAAATTTTAATACAAGTCATCCTTACTGAATTCAGAGGACAAGGAGGCGCTGTCTGTGTCTACATCTATTTCTGTGTTGTTAGTCTCAGCTAATTGAAGGTAGACTAATTTCACATCTATCCTTGGCAGAGCACTACTGTGACTAAAGTCCAGAGATGGTCACTTGGTTATGCCTCTGTGAGTGCTGCTGGTGCATTTGCTAATGATCTTTTTGGCTACTAGAAATTTCAGAATATTTGTCTCAGTTCAGAATGTGTCTCCCAAATGTCATTCATTTAAAGTATTGGAAACTAAAATAGCAGTGGAATGGAATGCATCTTCTTTCATGTGTATGTATGTATGTATGAGGAGTCCTGATATAAGATAATGAGTATAAGCGTCTGAGGTCTAGGGACTGCTGCTGACTAATTCTGGCCTCCATTTTGCAGTTGCATGCACTGGAAGAGTATACATTAGTGTGGTGATTTACAAAGGCATGAAAACAAAGAGTAAATATACTCTTGTAAAGAGGACAGCTGGTTGTTTGATATCCATATAATGTCTAGCTCTGTTCCTCCAGTTTTCAGGGCTCAGCATTTTGGACAAATAATACTGTGAAAGTGCATCTGAAAGTGGCTCCCACGAAGGGAGTTTGTAAAACCACAGTTCACAATGAGTTTGTTTAAGCCAGACCCATAGGCCATTTTCCATGAAGCAAGCTGTGTGGGAAGCTGTGGTGGGCTCTGTTCAGAGTGGGCTTGATTCTGTAAAGCTGTTAAGGAGTATGTGTGTCCTCACACACAAGGCATGACCTGTCTCATCAGACTCCCCTCGGAGAACACGTGGGTGTGAAGCACCAGGACTTATTATTCTTTCCATTTCTGCTATACTTACAAGCTGCCTGCTGTTCCCATGATCTTTCTTCACATGTGGTTTAATGAAATTGTTTAGATTTACATCTAAGTTACAATCTCATTTCAGCCTTACCTCCTTGATGTTTCTTCACTCCAGTCACTGCAGTTAGTGTTTTAGATGTTTTCTTGATTTGCTGGCGCAAGTGTAGGGAGTCTCTGGGTATGTTATAGATGTCTGACCACAGGAGCATGGCATAAAATATTGATAACTTCCATTAGACAGATATATTCCAAAGCTCTGAGGAGAAAAACCATGGTTTTTCCATGTTCACATTGGTATTACGATGCTACATATCCTCTCATGTTTTTTATAAGGCAATGGCGCCTTTAAAAAAAGAGCAGTCTGCTCTGAGAGCAAGTTAATCCCACTATGTTCTGGAAACCTGGCAGAATCATTAATAAGGAAACCAGTTGTGTGTAGGTTTAAATTAATCAGCAAGCATCCAGCAGCCAGAAACCTGAGGGGAGGAGAGAATGTTTCTCCTTGAAAAGAGAAAATATACTCCTCTCTCACTGAGAACATCACAAACACACACACACACACACACACACACACACACACACAGAGAGAGAGAGAGAGAGAGAGAGAGAGAGAGAGAGAGAGAGAGATGGAAAGACAGAAACAGACAGAGAGACTTATTAATGGAGAAACATGTGCATTATGTATATTCTGGCTATAATCTTTTCTCCCTTAGGGTTTCTGTAAAGCTGTGCAAAAGAAAAGTTAAAATCTTTGAAAGATGGGCTGTGGCCACAGGAGAATACTTTGACTGAGAAGGATCAGGAGCAGTGGAGGCTTATGTTTACCATAATGGGGAGAGTTATTTGGGCTTCAATTCCAAGGGAGCAGAGAGCACATTTAAAACTGTAGATCAAGTGAGGTGAGAGCAAGGACACAGAAGTGAGAGTAGAGAGCCTGCAGCAGGATGCAGGGAAGGTGGAGGTTCTTTGATGTTATTCATCATGGTTCTCCTAAGAACTAGACTGAAGAGCGCTAAGATTAATTCTAACTCAGGAGTTTTGTTTCTTTCCTTGATTAACACCCATGGATACTAGGAGCAATGAACAACTGGGGGTACTTAACACTGGACAGTATTAGAACATTCAGAGTTTATATAACTTCCGTATAAGTGAAGAGAGATTCACAATATAATAGAAAGTTGGTGATTTTGAACCAAATGTTGTTGACTGCAAGTTTGTGAGATACTATGTCTTAGTTACTTTTCTCTTACTGTGAAGAAACACTACGCTCTAACCAAGGCAACTAAGCATTTAACTGAGAGCTTGCTTACAATTTCAGAGAGTGAGTTTGTGAACATTATGGCAGGGTGCATGGCAGGAAGCAGGCAGCCATGGTGGGTACTGAGCAGAAGCTAAGAGCTTACTTCTGATCCAAAGAAGCAGAGAGAAATCTAGCTGGGCTCTTTAAACCTCAAAGCCCATGTCAGTGTCACACCTTCTTCATTCCAGCCACTTCTCTTTCAAAAAGGCCACATCTCCTAATTCTTACCAAACAGGTGAATCAACCAAACACTCAAATAAGCCTATGTGGACAATTTGCACTCAAACCAAAACATGACAGTTTATTTCCTTACATTGCTATATGTCACCAAACCTTAGAATTGTCTAATATTAGTGCTTACTTGTTAAAACTAGGGACTATTTATTTATTTACTTGTTTATTTATTTTACTCTTTTTTTTTTCTTTTCTTTGTTAGACATAATGTAGTCGAAAGCACATGGTAGACAGTGGATATAGTTGCTTGATACTGAAGGGTGAATTTGAGCTGTGGCATCTCAGAACAGATGCAAGCTTGATGGACATGCCAGAGGATCCACATTCTATACCCACCTTTGCCATTTGTAGGAAGTGTACTATGGACAAATCTTCCACTTCCTTGTGCCTCTTTTTTTGTTGCCATCCTAGTTGAGAAAAAAATGTTTAATAAGTCACAGGGTTATCAAAATACTCAAATGAAGTTAAGTCAATTAATGAGTGCTAAGGAAATTAGAAACCAGTATAACTATATAACAATGTATGTTATTCCCAAATACACATTTTTAAAAATGGATGCATGGCTTTAGCTTCTTATGTGTAGCATTGGAGAAATTGTTTTATTTCCTCCATATATTTAAATAAAAAAGATGGACTATGTCAGCCACTCACTGAGCCCTGCCTGTGAGACAGAATCTGCACTTGTTGGGATGTTGATCTGGTGCTCCAGTACATCCCCTCTGGCTAGGTGGACCCAAGAGAAGACGTTAGTACCTGTGGCTCAACAGAAGTATTCACTTTTATCTAATTGAATTGGGTCACATAGTCATTTAGAAGAATCTTCAGCTAAACTGGGGGGAGGGGGAATGTTTGGATTAGATACTTTATCATTTTTTTCCAAAGGTATAAAATTATCTTTGTAAATGCTATTATATTACTTTAAAAGAATCACCACCAACAGCAGTGGCATGAATGCAACGCGTCTGAAAGATAAGGTTAGTTTCTGGAAAGTTGGTTAGCTTTGCATTCCATAGAAGTAGAAGATGGAAGGCACGGCAAGCTTTCATTCAAGAAAAGCACCACAGAAAGAAGTGACCTGGTAATTAGCATGTTTCCAGCACCAAGGAATTAAAGGAGGTTTGCTTTCTACAGTGCGGGGGGGTGGGGGGGAACTCCTTCCTTTGGTGGCTGCATAGGCTGTTCTCTCACTGGCTGAATGAAGATATGCACGTTACCTAAATTTCAACCTTTTCAAAAACTGGAAAAATTGAGTGATGATTGATTTCATAAATGACAAGTTTGTGACTAGCAGAAGGAGTAAGGAGAATTATTACGAAGGGAATGTTTAAACCAGCTCCTGTATAGACTCTATGAGATCATTCAGAAAAAGACTCTTAACTCAAAGGCAAAATTGAGATGTTCGGGAAGGTAATATCACACAAGGAAAGTTCTTTCTTCTCTCTCTCTGTTTTCCTGTATGTAAAATACACAAGCATATAATGTATATTTTGCATAATTTAATAGTATTCTCATATGTCTGTATATAAAACACAA